AATTACTATATGAAGTATAATTCAGTAGTATTTTTGGAGTCTCTGATTAATATTTTGATGTCAAAATAGTGCAATTCAAAATTATTTATCAAATCAATCTAATATTTTCAAGAAGTTCAGAAATATTGAAAATGGAAATTTTTTATGATTAAAATGATTTCGCAGGATGTCAAGAATTGTAAGTCACCTGTGATACAATACAAGCATATTATGCCACTAGGCAAAAACTTACATGTTAAAACGTTTTTTCATTTTAACTCTAGATTTAACTTTAAGAGATGTTTTGAGCAATGTAAAGACAAAAGTTAACACGGTGTCTATTTTTGTTTAACAAAATTCCCTGCTTTGTCCAAACTTTTCACGGTTTATCTCTTTTTTGTCAAATTTAAATTTACTTGATTTTATCCATAAATAAATCTACAAATGGCTATAAAAATTTACTTATTTTATGAAAATACTGTTTCTTAAGTTCATATAAATATAGATTGTATTACTTGCTGTCGTACAGTTTTCTGTTTATACTAATACATTTAACTGGGTATCTACCAAACGGGAAAAACTGTAAAAAGCTGGGAATATGCCGAACCGGGAATTTTCCTATCAAATTAAGAAAAAGTTTCATTATATTAATTCGCTTTTAAAAAATTGCTTTTTACTTCAATTTTTATTGATGTATAATATTTATGAAAACAGACCCGAGTCAAAATTTAAGCCCTACTTTCAGCCTAAAATTTAGGTCTTATGTTAGGTTTTAGCAGTCGTAACGTAGGGTCTACTTGCGATACAATTAGTTCCAATTAGACTCTACTATAACTCCAAAAACTGTATGGAAAATTTAATTTTTTTAATACATTAATTAAAGTACTACAAATTGATAAATATTGTTCTCTGCATTTGAATTGGTTAAAATAACTAATTTGATAACAAAAAGTCAATCACTGATTCAAATAGTAATATTTTCCTACTAAAATAGCTATAATGGTAACTAATTATTATTTTTTTCCGGTCAAATTAAATTCCCTAGCTATTTCCTGATTTTCCAGATTGGTAGAAACTTAAATGTATTGGTAGAAACTAAAACCCGTCGAAGACGGGTACGACAGCTAGTAGAAAATAATTACGTAACATATTAATATTTTACTTTCAATTAGCAATTCTAACTTAAATAAATACTGTTAAACGCTTTATAACGCTAGGGCTATTTGACGTATAGCGTACGCATGCGCATAAAACACGTTCTAAAAAATATCAATTCTTTTAATCCCATTTTCGGTTTTACATATTTTTGTTGGAAAAAAGTCAAGCATTCGATATATTGTATTTAAAAAAAATCAAAATGGGCGCATGGAGAGAAAAACACAAAAATATTCTTAAAATTTTAAAAAAATAGGTTAATTTTTTTTATTTTTAAAAACTAATAGCATTTTTGAAAAGCTGGTAGAAAATTCTTTGAAAAACACCTATAATAAATTTAAATCGACTAATTGTAATGAAAGTAATTATTAATTGAAAATCACCGTGCGCAGTGAGAGCAAATATATTTGGGCCCCTGTATATTGACAACCCGTCATACTACGTCTGCATTTCTTCGAAATTTAATATTGAATTCGTAGATAAATTTTTATTTGAAAGTTGCCGCCGGATTTCAAAACAAGAGGATCTCATCGATGGGTTGGGTTTCTATACCCTTCATTGTGAAACGAATCCAACAACTCTAAAGATTTGAAAATTCTAAAGTTTCGCGCCTAAAGATTGAGTTGCGTGATACAGACAAATCTCGCTCACGACATCTGTCGTGCAGAATGCGCGGCTACATATCAACATTTTATTACATGATGTTACACACCTACATACATCGTAGATTGGAACTTCTTTCGCTCTTTTAAAACATTAATATCTTAATAAATAATTAAGTATTTACCTCAAATTATGCATAAATGGAATCTAGAATTATTAGTTTATTTATTTCAATAGTTTTTTAGAACTATTTTAGTGTTTATCTTTACATTTTCCACCTCTAACCGAGTCGTGACCGAATCGTGACTGAACTCGGTCACAGTTCGGTTTTCACGATCCGCCAGGGAGGTTAAAACGACGGTTCTAGTAGATCATTTGTGACTTTGGTATTATAGAATTGACACGTAACATTGTTACAGAAATATCCTTAATTGTAATTACAATCATATTCGAGAACTGAACTGCAACAGAAGTTTAGGACAGTTACATAACAATGTTCCTACACAGTTTTATAGAACAAGATTGGAACAGCAGTTACAAAAAATTTGTGACATTGGAGTTATATAACTCTTACATCACATTGTTATAGAACTGTGACATAAGCATAATACAGAACTATTCTATAACTAACTTGTAACTATGTTCTAGAGCTCTGTTACAATCAATATAACAGATCTGCAACTAGTTAGGAACAGATATTCTATATCAGTGTGACCTCACTGCCCAAGTGAAAAAGTTCCCGGGAATTGGACAGAGAAATTCCCGGGAATTTCTCGAGAGTGAAAAAAACGAAAGAAACAATTTTTTTATTCGTTTTTTTTTCACTCCCGGCAAATTCCCGAGAATTTCTCAGGAGTAACTCCCGGAAATTTCTCGATTTAATTCCCGGGAACTTTTTCACGTGGGTGTTATGGAATACTTATAGAACGTGTTTGCTGGGTAGTCTTCTTGTATTCAACCATGCTCCCGTTTTTTCCGAGTTCTGTGATAATTTTGAAATTATTAATTGATTCCGAAAATATTTTTCTAGGACAGTGGTACTGTCATACATGAAATTAAAAGATGCTTAAAGTGAGAAATTGATTCGGAAAAATTGTCAACTTCCCTTACATTCAACTTCTATTTAAGTTTCATGGTCTTGATTTAATACTTTTTGATACTTCGTATAAGTAAATTTTTTTTTTTTGAATAATAACATATTTATGTCCGCCAAATACTTAATTATTAATTCAAGAACTATGCTCAATGCTAATAATTACTTGTCACAAGAAAATAAATTTCTCTCTTCAAATAAATATGGTATTGATTCAAGTAAATTATATGTCAATTAAATGCATTTACACGGAGAAAAAGGATAATTAAAGTTACACTGAGGAGTGTAAAACTTAACACTCTTCTTTTTATAACTTAACCAGAGGAGTGTCAACTTTCTAAAGTTTTACACTCCTCAGCGTAACTTTAATTATCATTCTATTTTCTCCGTGTACTTTATTCAATTACATTTTTTTTCAGTGTAGTAAACATTTTTACTAATTAAAATTCAGTGAGTAAATGACATTCTGTTTTATAAAAATTCTAATAAATGGAAATTTCGATAAATTAAAATTCAACGTAAAGTAAATTATGTCAAATAAAATTTTGATTATGAAAATATGTTGTATCTACTGTGGAAATTGGTTTAAATGAATATTATCATAAAAATTAACAAACTTCTGACTTATAATAAATTCTGTATATAAAAAATTATAGAAAAATTGCTTCATGGAATAATAATGCGCCCCGAAAAATGTTAAATTTTTAATTGGAATTCAAATTATTTCTTATATGAATTTGGTCGTTGGTCCAAAAAATATTAAAAAGTATTTTCATTTGGCCAAAAGATAGATTACCCCTTGGCAGTCGATGACGTGTATATACGCAAGCAGATTTTTGACTACAAAAACACACAGATTCGTCCACAAATTGATATTCGGGGGTTTTCGAGGTCGCTGATTATGAATCCGATATCAGATTTTGAAAATTAAAAATGGCGGATCCAATATGGCGGACGAGATTTTCAAAAATTCATCGGATTTACTTGAAACTTGTTAATTAGGGGTTTTCGGGGTCGCTGATTACGAATCCGATATTAGATTTTATAAATTCAAAATGTCGGATCCAATATGGCAGACATTTTCAAAAATTCATCGGATTCACTTGAAACTTATTACTCAGAGGTTTTCGGGGTCTTTGATTACGAATCCGATATCAGATTTTAAAATCTCAAAATGGCGAATCCAATATGGCGGACGACATTTATTAAAAATTCATCGGATTCACTTTACACTAATTACTCAGGGGTTTTCGGAGTCTCTGATTACGAATCCGATATCAGATTTTAAAAATTTAAATTGTCGGATCCAATATGGCGGGCGCCATTTTAAAAAATTTATCAGATTTACTTTACTTGAGGTTTATTGATGTCGCAGAATAAAAATGTAATATCGGTTCTAAAAATGGCGGATCTAATATAAGAACTAGTCATTTTTTGATGTAATTATTGATGTCGTAGATTAGAAATGGAATATCGGTTTTGAAAATGGCGAATCCAATATAAGAACAAACAAAAAAAATATAAAAAAAAAAAAAAAAATAAAGGAGTGTAAAATCTGAACGCATTCCTCCCCGTAGTACACTCTGGGGTCGTAAGTAACGTAGTATACTTACCAGCTGACTGCGGGGGGAAAATTTGGTATTTTTTATCGTTTAAAAAGTTTTTCGTAATCAGCGAAAACCCTCTAGTAACGAGTTTCAAATGAATCCGATGAATTTTAGAAAATGTTGTCCACCATATTGGATCCGCCATTTTTAGATTTTAAAATCTGATATCGGATTCGTAATCAGCGACCCCGAAAAACCCGAGTAAAAAGTTTCAAGTAAATTCGATGAATTTTTAAAAATGTCATCCGACATATTGGATCCGCCATTTTGAATTTTCAAAATTTGATATCGAATTCGTAATCAGCGAGTTCAAATACAATAGTATGCTCGTTTGCGCAAATTTTAGTTTTCTAAAAAGTTGTCAACATTTTAAGCCCAGTTATGAGATTTTGGTCTTGACTGCGAAGGGGTTAAACAAAGTTTTAAAATAATTTATTTTGATATTAGATCTATAGAGTTGTTTTTACAAAAAATGGTTTATTGAAATTTTGATTTATTGAAAAAATTAAAAAAGTTTAATGACTTTCAATGTTTTAGAAGAAAAATATATGAATTCCATTTACCTTCGACTTTTCCGGTGTTTTTACTTTGTTGATGTAAATTTCCTGAAGTTGATCAATTTTTATGTATTGAGGTTGTTCAGAATCGTGCGTGTGAGGTATCTTTGTACATGAAAGAAGAAAAATTGAATTAAATAATTATAAGAAAAAGAGATGAAAAAAGATGTAAGTATGCAGTAGAGATCCCATTATCCGGACTAATGAATGCTTATAAACTGCGACACTTAAAAGAGTCAAACAAGAAAAAAAATCTTGTAAACCACTTGAATAGAACCACAAATTTTTTTTGAAAAGTTCAAAATAAATTTTTTTTTTTATTTTTTGAAGAAAATAATTGTTTTTGAAAATCAACTTTAAAATTGTATCCAACAATCCCCTTAATTTTATCTGCAGCCGTTACAAAACTTGTCTGTACTTTGCTTCCGAATGTTAGATCTGCTCTCAGTGTGGATCGAATGGTAAACGATTACAGAACTGATTTGTAGCGTTGTTAAATGTGGTATGTGTACGTGTACGCCTTACGTGAAATTGTGTTACTACGTAACTATAGTAAATCACATAGTAAGTGTCTTTTTGACCTCGTGAACCTGTGGTCGGAGTTATCAAATTAACACGAATTCTAATACAAAACCATCAATTTTCTCTATTTCTAACAATAATTTCTCTTAAAATACATTTATTCTTTAAGTACTATAATCAAATTATTACTGATAAATTATCTAATAAACAATTTTACTTAAGTATTTCAAAATTAGTGGAATTCTAAAAGAGTTATGTTTACAATATTTATAAATAGATAAACTTCAAAAGGTTTCAATTTGAAAGGCTAAACGGGATAAGAATGGAAAATTTGCCTTTGTTCCAAAAAAGCTAAAAATTTTACTTAAAGTTGGTACTAATGAGATCTAAATTTCCACCAAATATTTTTTTTTTAAAATCTATTTTTACAGGAGTTGTGGAGGGGGAAAGCAAAATAAAAAAATAGATTTTTCTCGAAAACGAGAAAAAAAATTTATAAATTTTTTTTAATTTTTGCCCAAAAATACCCGGAGCAAAGGCAAATTTTCCATTTCTATTCCGCTATACCCTTATATAAAATTTCAGTTTTGAATGAATTTAATTAAAACTTTAAAAAAATTTCGTTCTTTGAAAACTTTTAATAATTTAAATTCTTCTAAAATTAGTTATATTTTTAATATATATACATATTTAATTAATTATTGAAAATAATGGATTTATAGAAAAAATTAAATTAAAAATACATTAAAAAATTGAAAGGAGAATTTATAAATGATTGAAAAAATTTAATTATTTATTTTTATATTTAGATAATTGACATTTTGTGAAATTTTGAATAATAATTGAATATTAGAAGCATTAAAGCGTAGATTTTTTAGAAATAATTACATTTTGAAAAGGTTTCCAATTAAAATCTTCAAAAATTTTAATTCATTTATTTGAAAAAGAAGTTATTGAAGTTTTCGAATAATTTTACCTATAAACGGCCCCTACCCTAAATGCTAAACCAGAGTAGCCTATAAACGGCTGCTTCCACGAATGGGCTGTCCCTTTTCTATTGATGATGCTATGGATCCGGGAAGTCTGTCTCATAGGCCAGCCCTAGCGGTATCCAGTTTATCTCAATAGAATAGGAACTGATGTACGAAAGTGTATGTGGAATGAAAGAGAAACACTTTGAGAAGGTTTCTTCCTTTTTTATGGATGTGGGGGGTGCTATAAACGCACTATCCCCGTGAATGGGAGATATGAATGAAAGGCGTGAGACATCCATGGTCGTTCTAGTCTGTCAGACACAATAAACAACACATTAACACCATTCTCATACATATGAGAATTACACACAAGTACAATACCTATACACTTATCACAGTACACATAGTCAAAATACACTTATCACACCCATATGATCGTTATCCTTTCTCGGCCCACTGGAAGTACCCCGAAGCCTAGTTCACTTGTTTTCGGTGAGCGGGGCCTAGGGGTTGATGTGAGTTCGCTCTGCCGATATGTCAGCTGAGGTTAGGAATTAGTAGCCAGCCCCTTTGGGACCCTGATCAGGTAGTCTGTGATGAATATGGTGATCGGAATCCATATTGCTCCATGTTATTCCGGTCCGTCCGTGCATTCCGAGACCGGCTAAACAGTGGTTGGGCCTCAGGAAACTGGGGCAGGATACGTTCGAGGGTACATCTATCTGTTATCAACTATACCGACCCGCTTCTCTACAGACGATGCACTGGTAGCAACGAATTTATGGAGAATCAGAGGACGAAAACGTAATTGAGGAAATGGAAACAGGAGAGATAGAGTCTTTTGTTATTCCGGTTGAGACTCCTCAATAAATAAAGGTTGAAGCAGAGGTGCATCAGTTTCCTTCCACAAGTGAAGAATGGAAAAGCACATTTACAGCTCCTGATACAAATGGAGTAAAACAATGTGGTCCTTCAATTCAGATATGGGCCGAAGTATGATAGATCATGCTTGGTATCATAGCGGAACAGAGACTTCAAAATTAAGCTCTGAAAAAACACTTTTGGCTATAGAGAATTCATTCAGGAAAAATACACCTGTAAGACAATTCATGGCTGAAGCGAAGGGAATCTTTGCTGGAGTCAGTAGTGCGGGTCTCGCTCTCTGGTCATCATCAGATAGGCTCCAAAACTCAATGGAGCCACCTAATAAGTTGTAACGAAGTGTTTCGTTACTAACGTTTAATTTGAACGGGTATTTTCCCCAGCGTTGCTATCGTTATAATTTGAGAGTATAATTCAGAGAGAATGATTTTCGAACGATTGGCGGTTTCATTGTTTTTTCCGAGTTTTCCGTACAGGTGATTCCGGTCCCAGACGGCGACGGAGGAGGAGAGGGAGCAGGAACTTGCCGGCCGGCGTTTTGAGAGGTCTTTGTCAGTGTAACGAGATCCAGAGTATCGAAAGTGTGTATTTCACGGGTTGAATGGAAATAAGTGTTTAAATTAGTATTCATATTATATATTATTGTTGAATAACTTAAATATTACCTTACAAAAGTGCTAATAAATTCGAGAGTTTGGTAAATCGTGTAGTTGATTATTTTTGGTGTGAATTGTATTGTCTAGAGGTATTATTGGCGGCCGAATTTCTACAGGATTGGAACCGTTCTTTCAGCGAGGTAAGTTCTTTCCTTTTGGCTGAATGGTTTTCGTCTCAACGTCGTCGCATCACCCGTTATCTCAACATTTCCCCCCCATAGAGATAAAGTGTAAAAAGCAGTAATTGAGAAATTCATAACCGATAGATGCAAATTATTCGTTTAATTAATATCGCGTTACAATGTACCGAAATGTATGTCAAATGATACGTCCTAAAACACCATTGACCACTCCGAAACAAAAAAAGAACATAAGGCACCCTCTTCTACCAAGATCACGAAGAAAGGCGCCCTAACATCCCCAGAGGACCGGCAGATAAAAAGGCCGGACTCTTTGTTGATGCAGGAAAAAATTTTAAATTTTATTGCACAACTTGTGAGGAAAAAGGGATAAAGGAGACAAATCACTCTCTAGGAAGCGGGTCCTTCCTTGTCTATAGGGAGGAACTAAAAAAACTGAAGCAGAAGAGGTAAGATTTCTTCAGGCAATTACCCAAACGATCCACTTGGAAAGTTCGATTCCAAGATCCGCTCTCTTTAAAAAAGCCTGAGAGCTTTGGACTGAAATGTCCTCATTGCGAGATATTTCAATAGTAATACGCTGGAATGGGGAGATACCCGTCTGGACAGGAGAGGGATCTTGGTTTCTGACCTGATGACCACGAATGGGCTGGTGGTGTTAACCTGAGGCCACGAGTTCACGTTTAGGAGGATCTTGCCCGCAGAATAAGAGAATGGAGGATACTATACTATATGAGGAAACATTAAATGACAATCAGTACATAGAATTTTTGGTCTCCGAGGAAAATCCTGAAGGACGCGTCGAGTTAAAAAATGGTAGCAAAGGCGCCTCTTCGAACCTCAGGAGACTGAACAGGAAGAAGTTGGCGGAATCCCTAGAAGAATCGCGACTTATTCGCAAATCAAACTGGGTGAGGAAACCAGCTTCTTTAAAGGGTATAGTGCAAGAGGCGAGGCAAGTGATTGTACCAGCTTGCAACCAATCTATGCCTCGCCAGCAAAAAAGAAAACTGGTACCGTAAACTGGGGCTATTAGGAACAAAATTATGTTTTCGGGTGGAGTTGATGCTATCGGCGCCGTTTATCGATAAATTGTGTTACTTACTTTTGAAAAATTGTTGCTGCGGTGACTGGCAATACTTTTCAATGCAATAATTGTGACTATTAATTATTTTGTGAACAGTAGTAGCTTGTAAGTGACTTAATGTGTTTTAGTAAGGTTTCAAACGTGGAAAACATTTTATTGCTGAGGTAAGTTGTTTCATTTTTAACTTCTCAAAGCGATTGTTTTTTATTAATGGGATTTCTTATGGAAAACTTTATTAAGTTCACTAAGTAATAAATATGTTTATTTTGTATTTACAGTAATATTTTAGAAACAAAAACCAAAATTCAAAAACGGCGGGTATATAAGGAACACGATTATTTCTACCGAATTGTTAGTGTGTTGTCAAAACGTACGTTTTTCGTAATTTCTTTTGTTTTTTAGCACCTAATTTTGTTTTTAGTGTACAAAGATGGTTCGAAATTGTAAAAGAGTGTTAAGACCGCCAAGTCGCAAAAAACGACCAGTGATTCCATCATCGACCTCAACTGATGATACCAGCAACTAAAATACACATTCGCTCTTTTAGTTGCGTTTTTACATTTGTTGTAAATTGTGTGTGTACTTTCCAGCAATAAAAAATAACTTCTTTAAGTTTAAATACGGTTTCCAATGGTTTTAACGCCTTGTTTCTAATAGCCCCATTTTGTAATTTCAAAAAAATGCGTCTTTTTCGTTTTTTTGCTCAAATTCCAGCTTTGATCAAGACAATTATTTAACCCTTTAATGTGCTCGCCAAGATCAAGAAAAGAAACAAAAAATTAAGGCAATATTTCAATACACAAAAATGTTGCAAGACTTTAAAGTTAAAATCTGTTCCTAATAGCCCCAGTTTACGGCAAGGGCTCTGTGTACTGGTGGAGTGAAGAACTGGCCTGCCTTAAGAAAGAATGACACTCAGCTAGGAGGAAATTTACTTATTCTAAGGGAAAAACCTTGAGTTGCGGGAAACATGTCATAAAGCCAGGTGTACTTTTTAAGCAGGCCGTGAAAAGTAGCCAACGCCATTGCTGGAGAAATTTGATCGGGGTATATGAAGAAGATCCATGGAGTTTGATCTTTAAGATTGTCACTAAAAAATTACTCACAAGGCATCAAACTCCTGGCTTTGAGAAGTCGGTCCATCTCAGGAAAGGAGATAAAGTCACATCGTTCAGACCAATTTGATTATTGTTTACTATAGGTAAACTTCTAGAGGAAATGGCTCTGCAAAGAGCCAGATTTCAGGAAATTCTGATAGGCGAAAACAGCCTATCCGAGAATCAATTTGGCTTTCGTAAAGGCCGGTCAACAGTTGACGCAGTACTCACTGTTGTTAACCAGGAGAAGAAAGTCAAAGAAGGACAAGAAGAAGGGACTCTGCGCGCTTGTCTTCATCGACATACGTAATGCATTTAACTCCGCCAAGTGGGACAATTCCGTAGAGGCGATGCGTCGTAGAGTGGTAGCAACCTATCTATTACGAATGATAGACAACTATCTCAGCGACAGATGGGTTGAATACAAAAGCGATGCATGTCATCTCAAACATGAAATGACATGCGGAGCTCCGGGAGCTCCCCAATGATCAAAGGTAGGTTCATTCATATGAAATGTCATGCACGATGACTTTCTTAGAATGGAGTTACCTGAAGATACGATAATGGTAGACGTTATTGTCGTATGTGGCGCGCGGACTCCTCGGATTCTAGAAATAAGGATCAACGAAAGCTTGAGGCGAGCAAAGCTCTGGTTAGATCTCAACGTCCTACAAATGGTTACAGAGAAGATAGAAACTTTTCTTGTCACAAGCAAAAGATCCTTTGAGGTCCCAAAGATTCGTATATCCCCAGGTAGTAGTAGAATCATAGGTCCCCAAGAGACTAAAGGGGTGTTCCATGCACAGGGCAAACTTTGAATCTCAGATTTTCTTCATAATTTGACATTTTGTTGTCTTAGGGGACATACATAAGTTGAGAAAATAGTTTTGCAAAATTTCGATTATTTTGCAAGATATTGTTATTTAAACTTTTACGTCACTTTTTTCAACAATTTTTATTTCGAAATCTATTATAGTAACAAAAAAATTTTTAATATAAAAATTGTAGGGAATCTATTGAATATTAAAATTTTATTGGTAAATAAATAATTAATTTTTTTAATTAATTTATTTAAACAATAAATTTTAAATAATTTTTTTTTACCAAACGTCCCAAAAAATTTTTCTCGAAAAAATGTGAAATAAAAGCTTAAAATGTCCTTAGAAATCTCTGAAAATTTCAGAGATGTGATTTTTGATATTCGCGAGAAAATAATTTTTGAATTTTGCATTGCACGGTCGTTCCCACGCGCCGAATGTGGTAGCGTCTGACAGTTACTAAATATTAATGTAAGAAAGACTTAAAACATTCAGGATGGCAATTTTAAATGCATATATTTTTATTTGCATCCTTGTTTTTTTGTTAATTACAGTTAATTATAAAAATTTTTACTCAATTCCGCACCACCCAGTTTTTGGAGCTTTTTTAAAAAAATGGTGTATTCCCTATAGGCCTAATCTACATATTATTGTTCCCTATACAGTTTATTGTAATTTGATAAAATTTGCTATAATAAATGTTTATATAATATCCAATATACACTATCCTCCACGAGTATTAGGACGACTACACACGACTCGATGGAAAAACATGCCATCACTTTTTCAATCATATCTCGAAAATAAAAGGAGATACAAAAAACTTAAATACGGTTAGAAATCTCATTAAATTTAACGTAAAATAAGCCGTCTATGAAGTAATTTCGTTAACTATTTTTTAAGTTGTAGAGTGAGAAAGAAAAATGAAAATTATCAAATTTTCTCTTTTTTGTCTCTTGACTTCAACTTTTTCAAAAATCTAAAAAAAAACACAGAAAAAAAAATATTATTATTATTATTATTTATTATTATTATTTTATATTAAAAATTTTTTTTTTATTATATTTTTTTTTATTATTATTTTTTTTTTATTTAAAAACACAGAAATCTTTGTTAGAATTTCATCTTTAAAATAAGCCATCGAAAATTAAAAAAGATTAATCCGTCTTTGATTTATCATTAAAAGTGTGAAGCCGTGTTGCGACCGATCAGTGCATTGAAATTCAACTGTGACGATTCGATTCTAGCTTCGCGCGGCTGCGAATGAGAGAAAACAGGGCGAATTTATGCTGGAGAATAATAAATAATGATGTTTCACGAGTAATATAAAGAAACTCAAAAGTTCATCGTTCCCCACATGAATTCGTCCCTGCTTTTTCTCTCATTCGCTGCCGCTCGCAGCTAGAATCGAGTTGTCACAGTTGAATTTCAATCCACCAATCGGTCGAAACACGGCTTCACATTTTTAATGATATATCGAAGACGGATTAACCTTTTTTAATTTTCGAAAGCTTATTTTAAAGATGAAATTCTAACGAAGATTTCTGTGTCTTTAGAAAAATTTTATCTAAATTTTTATAGATTTTTTAAAAAGTTGAAGTCATGAGACAAAAATGAGAAAATTTGATAATTTTTTTTATTTCTTTCTCACTCTACAACTAAAAAAATAGTTAACGAAATGACTTCATATACGACTTATTTTACGCAAAATTTAATCAGCTTTCTAACCGTATTAAAGTTGTTTTTGTATCTCCTTTTATTTCCGAGATATGATTGAAAAAGTGATGGCATGTTTTTCCATAGAGTCGTGTGTAATCGTCCTGACGATAGTGTATTTCGTTTAAAGTGGTCGACAACTAATTTTAAAAAATTATAATATTTTTTAGAAATGATTTTAAAGGTATTTGGATCACTAAACAAAAAGAATTTTTAAATATTTATTGTAAACTAATCATCTTTTTGAAAGTATTAAAGAGAACACAAAATTTACTATGAAAATGTAAAAAAATTATTGGAGTTTATTAAGATTGATTTAATTTAAGTAATAGAAACAATGAATGATAACAATTATTAAAAGAAAAATTATTTTAAAGTTCCCCTGTCAAATAACCTAATTTTGCAAATTTCATTCACTAAATGAGAGAAGGATAAGTCATTAAACTGAATATAATCAAACCAAATATAAAGTACCTGTGATTAACTATTAGTTTTTCTTAGCACTTTTTTCCATTTTTCTTTATCAGTTTGAAAAAACAAGCAATTAAAATTGGCACTATGTTTATTTTGACGATTTTCAAATGTAACTAACTTTCTTAGAGAAAAATAAAAATTTACAATTCTTGGACAATATCTAATTGATTAGTAAAAATAGATACACTGGAAAAAAATTCCCTTTGAACCCAAATACTTTTAGAGATTATTTGATAAAATTTAAACTTTTTAGTTTCGTTTAATATATCTTATCATTAATTGTATCTAACGATTAAATTAAATCAGTCTTAATAAATTGCAATAATTTTTTTACATTTTCATAGTAAATTATGTGTCTCCTTTAATATTTTCTAATACATGAAAAAGTGGCAATTTTTGAGACCTCATATATCCAAAGGGTCATTACCCTTAGTCAAAATTTGGGTCATACTTATTTTTTAACCTACAGGTAGAAAAAATTGTCTAATTTCACCTAAATCTTAACGTATAAGGGAACAACTCCTTGAAGAACCCTAATGGGATCTTTTTTTTGACGTGTAGGTTAAAAAATAGGTTAGATTTGACCAAAATTTTGACCTAAGGTAATGACTTTTTGGAGGGCCCTTATGAGTCTTTCTTTTACCTGTAGGTCAAAAAATAGGTCCAAATTGATCTATATTTTGAATTGGTTTTATAATAAATATACTATTAGGGGGGCCCTTAGTTTATGGCCCTCATGAGGGGCCCTTAGAAAATCCTGACACTGCCGCAGCGGCGAAATATTTTTATATAATAGGGATAGATATTTGGAAATTCTTACATTTAAAATTTTTTTTTCCAATTCAATCATATTATTAACATCTTCGTGCAACTGTTTTCTACTGATATGAGCACTTCTACTAAATGCTAACATGTTAGCAATTCTGAAAATATAAATTTCATATTTTCCATTGTCGTACATATCAGTAAAGTTTTTGTTAAAAATTTTTCCACTATAACGAGCCATTGATTTTAAAGGTACAGTAGGAGGATGAATCTAAGAAAAACATGAAATAAAAATAATAAGATTGTGAAATAATAAAATCATTCTAATTGCAAAGAATGTTATATAGAAAATATTTTATATTTTGTAATTTACCTTTATAATTTTAAAAGAATTTTCCACATCTGCAGTATAATCGTTTGAATTTTTTGATTCGCTCTTAACATTAATGCGATAAAATGAAGATAAAAATAATAATCGCGAATAAAATTGATTAATATCCTGCCATGATATTTTCATGGAGGACCATTCTTCTCTTTCCATTATCAATGGCCATCCGCCAATTTGAGCCAAAAATGCTTTTATATGCTTCAAACCCCTTCGACCGACCTTCCCTATAAAATTGTAGGGAAAAGAAATATAATTTTTTCAAATAAAGAAAAAATTTTATATTAAAAGCTAATTTCAACAAAATATTTTCCTACTTACAGTAACTAGTACAAGATTTGTAAAATTTTTTCATTTGCTTTACTGGCAAAATATCTGTTGAATTATTATATCCATCCATTACTATTTCTGTGTATAGAAAAATAAATTCAGATATTAATTTACATATCTCATAAGCAATAAATTAAACAGATATTTATATTTTTTTATTAAAAACACACTACGCCGATAGTGGCGCCAACTAAATGTTTAGTATAATACACTACTACAGCTCTCTGTTTAGTAGAATCTACTGTTTGCTTAGTGTATCTTACTATCTTACTGAACAGTGCAGTAGATGGCAATGTCTGTACCGTCAGTCCAAAACTAAAATTTCTGTTTAGTAGATTTAACTGCCATGTCAGTCAAATCTACTACGCCCTTCTCTCCGTGCAGGACCATAAAGAGAAATTAAGGTGAACATGTTCTAAGTGAAGGTGACCTTTATGTTTTTGGGGTCGCTGATTACGATGCCGGTGTCAGTATGACCCCAACACGTCAGCATCAAGGTCAATTCGATGTCACATACCTTTTTTTGACACCGGATTCAGAAAGAGCGGAAAATTTTGCATACGAATAGGTTTTGACCGTTTTTATGAATCAACATTTAAAGGTCAATTGAAGGTCATCTTGGTCCGGTGTTGGAAAAATTAAATATTTCGAATTAAGGTTTTTGACATTGAGTTAATTTTGATGCTGACGTGATAGGTTCATGCGAACACCGGCATCGTAATCAGCGACATTAAAAACATAAAGGTCACCTTCACTTAAAACATGTACACCTAAATTTCCCTTTGTGGTCCTGTGAAATTTTAATTGCCTTAAAATTATTACATTGAAAAAATGTATTTGATTCAAATAATATTAATTTGTAAGGAAAATGTAGTATAATTCAGACTAAAAAAACTCAGTAGAAGCCTATCAAATTCTAGTCAGGATAATTTAGACTAGACAAAAATGGCCAGGACCTTATCGATTTTCAATTAGACAAACTAGTGTTCAAGTATTATACTACATTATTATAGTTTATTTACTCTCCCTACAATAGGTAGGGTTCGAGACTCCCATGTACATACATAGTAATCTTAACCTATATTTACAAAAATCCTTACAGCTAAACATTCTCTACATACAACTTAACCTAAACGCAACTCTCTCCACACTCTCAACCTTACGCTCTTAACCTTTCTTCAGTGCCGGGCTTTCGTTTCCAGTTCCTTCTATGCCCATGCTGGCTTCGACCCAATTCACCCACCCTTTTTCAAAAACCTTCTACTCCTTTCTCACCTCTCTTTTACACCCTCCAGTCATTCACTTTTACCCATCCATCCATCCAAGCAAAATCTTCTCACCTCATTCTCAGCCTATCCCTATCTATCACACTTTACACGCTTCCATCACTCCACTCGTAGCCTCCCTCACAACATACTTTACCCCATCCACTCAAATACAATCTTTACCCATTCTTACCTGTTTCCCATTCACTCTCTCCGTCCATGCTCTTTCGCTCAATAGCCATATCATTCTCCTCTCTCTCTCTAACTTCTATCCTCATCTATTCTTATTACACTTCCTTTCAGTCTTCCTTTCACCCTCATCACATCCATTTTCTCTTCCTCACTACCCAACTCCACCAACCATAACTTTGATACCCCATATTCACCCTTTCCTAACGCTTGTACCAATTTATCTGAGACATTCACTCCAACACACCTACATTCATACCTCTGATCACTACATTCTTTTTCCTTTTTTCATTTTCTACTACATCCACTCGCCTTGACAAATCTCCCATTTTCCACTTTAACCTCTCATATTCACTTCCCTCAACTTTCTCTATCCCCTCATTCACTTCCTTTATACATTTTTCCAATCCATTCATTCTTTCCCACATGCTTTTATTTTCCTTTTTCCACTTACCATCCCATTCATTCCATATTTCCTGCTATTTCTCCAACCTCTCTTAAATTTCCACTATCTGTTTGTCCTTTGGTTCCCCATCCTCATAGATATTCATCAAATTTCCTTTCACTCTCTTAGCTCCTTCATTCATCGCATCCTTTAACCCTTAAACCGCACCCTGGGTGTGCGACACCCATATTCTAGCTTTTTACTCTAATATTTCGGTTAAATTCGTAAAAATTTAGCATGTGTCGTTATTGGACGATACATTTAGTACTTAAGTTTATGTTCCGTTAGGGACATTAGTCTCCCAAGTGTCTTTGTGTATTTGATAGCTTTATGAAGTTGTCGGCGAAAAATTTTTGCTTGTTTGACACCCAGTTTTTGGTTTAAGGTAATTTCAGTAGTTTTAAAAAACTCTTTTTCAATTATTAAAATTAAATAAATCATTATGAAACCTATTTTCCTTCAAAATAGATGTACTGAGCTATATAAGATAATTTTTCCAAAAGATAATATCCTATTCCAGCTTGGAGAACAAACTTAAAAGTCCCCGGGTGTCGCACACCCAGTGTGCGGTTTAAGGATGGATTCGGCAGTGTGCGGTTTAAGGGTTAACATCCATACTAATTCTAACAAATCCATGCAATCCTCACACGTCATCATTTTTCCATTCTTTCCTATCCCCCTTTCAAATACTCGCGTGCACACCAAAACGGTACTAGAAAAGGAAGCCCAAGTATTATACTACATAAAGCATCTTTTTAGATAAATAATTCAGATTAATTATATAAAAAACTTATACGCATTATATTTAATAAATGCTGCATACCTATTATTTAACCTTTTTAAAAATTTTAAATAAAATTTCAATATTATATAATATTTTTATAAAAAATTCTTTTAAAACAACTTTATTAAATAAAAATCTTTTACATAAATAAGTAAATGACTGTAGTATAATATACATAAATATTATTTATGTGGATATACTTATATGAACTAAATTTACCCACACAACCGTTTTTTGTGATAAATTATTTAAATCTCAGTTAAAACTTGATTTTATAAAAGTTGACATACTTTTTGTTAGCTGTCAACTGTCAAAGTGTATTGAATTGCTAGACATCAACATAAATTTTTACAAGAAACCTTTATACTTGAGAAGTTAATGTAAAAGTCGTTAAAATTCTTAATTTTCAAAATTTGACAGTATTTTGACAACCGGTAGCTAGGTCAGAATTTCTCAAACGGATCACTTAAAACTAAAAAATTTTCTTTTTAAACCAAAATAGTTTTTTTTACTCTTAATATGGTTAAGAAAAATCCCTGAAAATATTAAGCCAAAAAAAAAATTTTTGTAAAAGTTATTAACAATTGAATTTTTTAGTACTGCTAAATTAACAAATTTTTTTCTCGAGTTCTAGTTGACGGATTTTAAAATTAAAATATGAGTTTTTTTCTTCTTGAATTGCACTATTTGAATATATTTTTTGTTTTTGAATTTTTTTATTTTTTATAATTTTTTATATAATTTGTTTATAAAATGTTAATAAACAAATATGTTCTTCACGTCCTAACAAAAAAATTAAAATTGTATTCTATTCCTTAAATGTCTCCGAGTGTAAAACCGTTTCGAAAAAAATGAGCGTCAATTAGAAAAAAAGTTATTAATTAAAAACTGCAGCTATGTAGGGCTTTATATGACGTTAAACTCGCCCCGCGCGCATTGGCATTTTTTTCAAAATTGTCTGTAACCTACAAATTTTATCGGATTTTCATGGGCTTGGTCTTAAATTAAAGGGGATAAAAATTCTAAGAGATCCCACTAAACCAATTTTTTAATTTTAAATTGTTTATATTTTTTTTGTTACTCAAAGTTAACAATTTACAATATTTTTAGAAAAAATCATGTTTACTTTTTTATTTTTTCATTGGAGATGATTGGAATCAATTTTAATTAGTCCAGCATGACCACCAGACAAATAATAATGTATAATACAATTTATTTAAATTGTTGCAAACAATGTTAATTAACAAATAGATAACTTTGGTTTTTTTATAAACAAAATTTTTTTTCAGATATATTTATATTTATTTTAGTAATCTATGTCGATTTTGGTAAAAATTTATTTTGAATTCAATTATTACTATTGTTATTAACAATCATATGAACAATAATCTAGTTTCTTTGACATTTGTAAACATTTTAGGCATTTTTTAAACATAAAATGTCTATATAATATATATATTGTTTCAAAAACTTTAAAAATTTCTTAGCATAAACAATTACATTTGTTGTAAACAAATTATTTATTTTTCAAACAAATAAATTGCTTATTTCTGCAAAAAGAAAAATTATTTTTCGTATTTTAACGAGTTTAAAGTCATGTAAAGCTCTACTTGATTATGGATAACTAGATTATTGTCCTTATGATTGTTAATAACAATAGTAATTATTAAATTTGAAATAATTTTTTATCAAAATCGACATAGATTACTTAAATAAATATAAATATATCTGAAAAAAAAATTTTTGTTTATAAAAAAACCAAAGTTATCTATTTGTTAATTAACATTGTTTGCAACAATTTAAATAAATTGTATTATAAATTATTATTTGTCTGGTGGTCATGCTGGACTAATTAAAATTGATTCCAATCATCTCCAATGAAAAAATAAAAAAGTAAACATGATTTTTTCTAAAAATATTGTAAATTGTTAACTTTGAGTAACAAAAAAAATATAAACAATTTAAAATTAAAAAATTGGTTTAGTGGGATCTCTTAGAATTTTTATCCCCTTTAATTTAAGACCAAGCCCATGAAAATCCGATAAAATTTGTAGGTTACAGACAATTTTGAAAAAAATGCCAATGCGCGCGGGGCGAGTTTAACGTCATATAAAGCCCTACATAGCTGCAGTTTTTAATTAATAACTTTTTTTCTAATTGACGCTCATTTTTTTCGAAACGGTTTTACACTCGGAGACATTTAAGGAATAGAATACAATTTTAATTTTTTTGTTAGGACGTGAAGAACATATTTGTTTATTAACATTTTATAAACAAATTATATAAAAAATTATAAAAAATAAAAAAATTCAAAAACAAAAAATATATTCAAATAGTGCAATTCAAGAAGAAAAAAACTCATATTTTAATTTTAAAATCCGTCAACTAGAACTCG